CGTACTTACAAAGATTTTATGTTTTATGATTTATGCATCTACCCACTGGAACAACATTTCCATAAATGAAAGTAGTCTAGCACAACACAAGACCTAAAAAAAAAAAAATAACCCCACCACCAGTTAAATAGTCCTAAAGGATTTTTTAAAAATTCTCATTTGAATGCAAACCAAGCAGGAACGAAACATTATTGCAGTATGTGATTCACACCACTAAGTGGTGCTCCTGTAAACTTCCATATTAAATTTCAAAGTGGTTAGGACAGCCCATTTCAATCAATACATGATATTATTGGTCTAATATCGTGTACTTGGTTTCCACATAATGCAACCGAGTTACTGAAAAAAAGCTTCCACTAAATTAATAAGTTCCAATACACTTAGCCTATGCTTACACCTAGGTTTGAGCCATTCAAAACTGATTATTTGCTCAACCTCAGATGCCCATCAAAACTCTTTCACAAACTCTTGCTCAACTTGACAGCTTACTTCAAAATTAAGAGCCTGTTGAACAGCAGATCAAATTCCAAAATCAAATTTCGCTTCACCTTTCCAGTAAAATATTCTTCTGTCATTAACTGTCACAGACAGGTGCATTTGTCCCTAATGGTCAAATAGGTATTTGCAGCATCTTCCAAATTTGAGAGGACAAACAGATGTTATTGTACCGGTTGTGATGTTGGGAAACAGTAATGCTTTCAAAGTCTGCTTTCTACAACATCAAGTACTTCATGAGGACACATGCCACTGATTTGCAATTTACAGTGGAAAGATAAGCCATCAACAATAAGTTCTGCCTTAATTCCAAAATGAACAAAGCAGGCACTGATCTTGCCCCATTGTTAACTCATTGTAACAGATGTTACAAGCACATTTTACCCAGCCTTTGATTTACTGTTTATGATAGGCAGCAATTTTCTGGAGATGCTGGCATCATAAACAATCCAGTGAATAAATAGACAACTGCAGTGTTTGAAATATGCAGCTTTTCCAGAGACGAACTCTACTTAATTTGACATTTATCATATTCTGGAATCTTGACTATCAGTTGATTTCTCTAATAGAAGATGTGAAAAGCACTATAACAAATGCAACGATTATTATTTATCAGTATTATAATAAAGGGCTCATCAAATTTTGGTTTACATCAGTGTCATCAGCTCTGCTCTCAAAATTGTACACGTTTATGGTGTGATGTGGATCAAAAATGGTCAATCAATACTTTCAGGAATGATTACCAACAACCCATGGGCTGTGCTGAACTCACCAAAATTGAAATTATATGACTTCTCTCTTTTCAAGGATCTCAACACTGTAGAATTCCTCCTTCAACAATCTAAAGTTTTTGAAACCAAGATTACCATCAGCAAACTATAACTGCGGTTTAGGTTTTGTCTTCCACTGTTAGATCCACTTGGTGAGTTCACTTCTGAAACACTATGCGGTCTCCATATCGTATTTCAGATGCAAAATAATTTTAGAGGGCTACGAGATTAATTTCAGAATGGAGGAGAAAGAGCTATGATGAAAGACCCTAAGGCTATTCTCTTTTGAAAAAACTGAGGAGGAACCTGATAGAGCTGTTAAAAAAATTAGAAAAATTGTCTGCCTGCCATATTGAAAACTTAACGAAACATAACATTGCTTCAAAATAACAAAAACAAAGTCAAGAAGAATTTTACTTTTGTAAAAGTGAAAGAAGCAAACTTCCAACACAGGTGTTGGAACGGGGAAGTATGACTTTAAAAAGGGCTTTAAAAAGACAAGTTTTGGGAAAATAAAAGGATTCTGGGTGATTCGATCAGGAGAGATACGAGAAGTCTCAAAGAAATATTTTGACAAGTTAAATGAACCAATGATTTACCCCTGCCTAGAAATATTATTACTTTGCAACCATGGATATGTTCTTTATTGTGGAAACTTTTATCAGCTGCTGAAACACACAAAATGTTACACCACTTGCCAGTGCCTTGAACAGCATTCACCAGAGTCACTGTCAGTTCTTTACTTTCCACTTAGCAATGTAAACAGAGCAGGATCTTAGTTCCAGTTTGCTCCCTCAGGCCATTTGAAAAATGATTCTAGAATATCCTAAAATCTGAATGGCACATCAGTCTTCTATCCACATGTTAACCCAAAGAAAAATTCTTCCATTATTTAATCGAACTCGTACAAATTCCTGATGAGGTTGGTAAAACAGTTCATATAAGATCATTTCCTCCCTAAAAAAAAGATTGCTGGAACATTTTCTTCCAAAAAATGCAAAAAAAAATTAAAATTCACTTCATAAGCCAGTTACTTGAGGGAAATGTACTCAGGTTTCAAGGCTGCTTTTGCAGGTTAAAATCTGGAGGTTTTGCAATCAAAAGGTCTGAATGTTTGGTCTACAGAGCAATTAACCCCAAATGAGGAATAGGAGAGCAAATAATGAAGACAATATTTGGTCTTCCAGACCATTCCACTGACTATTTCATCAAATACAATACAAAGCTAGAAATGTGAACAAAATGATGTTCCAATTTAAATACCTTTTATGTGACTGTGCAAAGCAGTAATTACTAACAGTACACCATCAATGGTCATTTAATATTCTTAAGAATCTAATGCATTAAGTACTGCAAGAAAATGCAGTATATGCAATGCATTATAATGCATTTCAACATTTAAAAACCCAATAATTTGAAATAAGGGCACTGTGAATGCAGAAACATTGACTGGCCATCATGCCCAGTTATAGCACTGTTTCGGATTTTATGGACCCCAATCACTGTGTTATAATTTGTCTCTAATGTACTAACTTATCTAACAAATTAACCCACGTTTGGATCCAGAACATCATAAATAGCTGGACTACCTGGTTTTATGCGGTTTTTTTCAAAAAAAATCACTGCAAATGATTCTCAATCAAAACCTTAAGGATGGTCAAAAAATCATTTAAACTTAACGTTGAAGTTTAAAGGGTCGTTTAGAATCAGCTGCTAGAAAAATGGGAGTTTTGTGTGCAATCATTCATTCATATTGACTCAGTTCCAAAAAATCACCCACCGGAGGTGGTTGCAGGAGCAGGGATCAAAATCACTTCCAACAGAAATTATACACTAACTACGCAACATAAAAAGGACATTAGATGTCATAATAAATCAGATATTTTCACACAGTATAGAACATGTCCAAAATCAGCATCAATGGATTTCTTTCTCCTCTTCCCCCCCTCCCCCTTTTTGCAGTTGTGCAAAGAGTGAGGTTATCTGGTAAGACAGTCAAGCTGAATATTTGTGATGAAAGTAGAGCAATCCATGACCTTAGGTTTTGCTCTCAGGAACTGGAATATATATAAGCATTGCAACAAATATCATAACCCAAGACAGAAAATATCAGAAATTCAGTCACCTGAAGCCCAAGAATTAAAATGCTATCAAGTATTCAGAGATATCCACAAATACATTTAGATTTTGTTTGATAATGGGACAAGGGAGGGGGTTTATGTTCATTAATCATCAGTTTACTTCACATCCTTGATGCATGACGTTTAAACAAGAGGATTAAGAGTGACATAATTATTGAAGATTGAATTCCAGATTAACCCATAGTTTAAAAATATATAATTATTGAAAAAACTGCATCAGATAGCTAAAATATAAATGTAAGGATCAAAAACATTTCTTCAATCAAATACCAATTATGCTCATCAATGACTCTATGAAGGTTCTGTCAAATAGTGTGCCTATCCGGATAAGCATCCCCTCCCACTGTGCAGCATATTGCAAAGAAAATCTCTCGTCAGGACTAAGGAGTCATTAAAAAGCCTGTTTAATAATGATCCAATATTTTCCTGCATATCAAACGTGTAAGGAGACAATATATATAATCTATTACAAATTCTATGCAGAAACCACAAAACATCTACTTTCCCACATAAACCCACATATCCCCAAACAATGCAAACATTTCTCATGAATCTAAGATTTTGCTCAGTCCATAAATTGTTCTCAGAATCCATTGCTATACTAATTCCTCTCATCACAAGCCTAGTTAGGTGATGAGCTCTACTCCCAATCTGTCCCAAAAATACAAGAATTCATCCAAAATAAACAAGAGACCAAACTATAATACAACAACAAAATTACCTAGTTCTTATCAAAATTATAACTTCCACAACCTCATTGGGAGTATCAAGCCTTAAAGCTGTATTACAGAAAGGAATCCATCACTTGAACACTGACCTCCCACGTCCACTGTAATCTCACTACATGTAACACTGTAAACCCCATATTACTACGACACTATATCCAGTTAAATAACCAATACATTGTACCAAATTAATAAGAACCGCACTGCAGTTACAACTCACAAATGAGATCCACTGCATCAAACATTACAATTTAACCCACTCAACACTGAATGATTGAGGATTCCAAAAAAAAACTACAATTTATTAATCAATCTAAACGAATAATCTTTGGACTATGATTAAAGCAACTGCCACAGATTCAATGAAATTTCAAAAACAAAATTAAATTATTTAAAAATTCGACCACATTGTCAAAAAAGCACATTACACATTATATATGTTCACATATATAAAAGTATACCGATAAATTCACACTACAAGATATTGATTTTTATTTCCTACTGAACAGTAAAGATATTCAACAATGGCTTCCCACTTACAATCTTTACACTACACCCGTTTGAAACTTCCCGAATTACGATTAGCTTCACGGTAAAAGGTTTAATTGGGCCAAATCATTTTGGACACAATTGCGATTGGGGGGAAAAAAAAACACACACACACACTTTCCAGGGGGTTCGTGCAATGATGGCATTCAGACTATTTCTACAATAAACGCACAAACAAACAAGAAAGGATTTCTGCCCAACACAATTAGAAAAACGATTTGGCGAATTGTAAATATTGACAATACCAAGATATATATATATATATTATAAAAACTGGCCACTCTATAATTTGTACCCATTGATATTTCATTCAGTCTTACCTGAACCACTAAAGTGACTGCTGGCGAGCGTGATTGGTCCGTTTTTTCCGCTGTTAACAGGGGGAGAAAACATCTAAAAGGAAAGAAAAAACGATCCTGATTAATTATTACTGTTCGAGACCGGCTTCTGAAGTTACATTGTTACAAGCGCTGCTGCTGATAATAAAACACATCCTTTTACAATGAAAACCGACCGAAGTTTCTCATAAACAAAACAAGGCTCCAATGTGTGGTGCACATGTGTAGATGCAATCAAATGAAACCCGATGTTCAAAAAAATAAGCTTTCTTCACAACACCTCCTCGAGACAGTGTTACACACCCACAATTAAACAAACTGGATTTGCCTCAACCGCCTTTTCCCTGTTTTATTCCTCCTCTGGAGAAAAGCACTAAAAACCATGGATGCACTACCAATGCATTTTCAGGGTGAGGGGTGGAGGGGGTGGGGAGGGGGGAATGGGGGGGGATGGGGAGTTGATATCTAGTTTTTTTAAAAAAAAGTAATACGGGACGATTGCTTTACTCCCCCCCCCCTCACCCCAAAAAAAGATTTAAGTTCTTGCCAATAATTGAGGTTATCTGAGAATCTGATCAGTCGCAAAGCCAGAAGTGGGGACAGTTATTTCCACTTCAGTTCAAAGCGCAAAAACAAAATAACTCCACAGTGAAAACCTGAAGCTGGGGCTCAGGTGAATGAATGGTGACTGGAACCACACCACAACAACAACAACAACACACACACCGTCCAAATCATTTCTGAGTGAAACACGTTTGCCCCCCACACCCACACCCCCCCCCAAAAAAAAAAGTACTTAAGTCTAAGGCAATTGCATCAAACTTCAGGTGACTCCTTTCCACTAAAGCTGGACTCAGACCCTCGCCACACTTTTGAAGACATGGCAAGTGGGTGATAGATATTGGGGCAAATGGCAATAAAAAAAAGAAAGCCTCCAAATATTATTATTATCATCATCATCATCATCATCATCATCATACCGCACTAAAATCCAGCAGATCGCTCAATTCCTTGTCTGTTCCTATAACGGCCATCCGCTGCTGTGGATTCATCTTGATTTACTCTCACTAAACCTAAGAACAAAAGATACAGTTACAACGAATTACTGAAACGTTGGGGGAGGATTTTCTCTCTCTCTCTCTCCTCTCTCTCTCTCCTCTCTCTCTCTCTCTGTGTGTTCTCTTCTCTTTGCTTTGCTCTCAACAACAACAAAAAAGCTCGTTTGGGAAGGTTAGGGTAGGGTGGGGTGGGGTGGGGATAAAAAAAAACCTGCAAAAAAAAAAGGTGGTGTGGGGGGGGGGGGGGGGGAATGGGGAAAAAAAATATACACACGCTCAAAAAGAAAAGTTAAAAGGGGTTGGATGGGGGGTGGGGTGGGGGGGGGGGATAAATTCAAGGGGCAAAGCTACTCACCCACCGAGCGAGACACTCACAAAACAAGACAGACAGACTCCAGTGAACTTGTCGTGCAAAAAAAAACACTATCTACCATCCAGGTTGCAAACACAGACACATAGACCTGCCCCCACCACCCCCTCCTCTCCTCCCTTCTCCCCCCTCTCGCCTCTGCAAAACACAGGGGGGTGGGGGGTGGGGGGGGAGTGGAGGAAATTACTGCACAAGAAAAGGTGACAAGGCTCACTTTCCACACAAACAAAAGACCAATTACTACGACCTTCCACCAGCAACAAAAAAGCCAACAATTATTTATGTACTTTTTTTTGGATTGGGGGGGGGGGGAAGGGGGAGAGCGTGAGGGAGGGAGGGAGGGAGGGGGGTTGAAGAGAAGAGGGAGAAAAAAAACACAACAACAACCACAACAACCCCACAACAAAAGTAGTAGGTAAATCATCAGTATTAGGTTTTGCATAGAAGAGTCTCCAGGGGTTGGGGAGGGGGAGAAGAGAGAGAGAGAGGGAGAGAGGGAGGGAGGGATGGAGGGAGGCGGTAAGAGAGAAGAAATAAATGTCGCCTTTGGGTTATGTTATAGTAACTCTCTCTCTCTCTCTCTGTGTGTGTGTCTCTCTCTCTCTGCTTTGGTTTCTGTTTTGGAGGCGACTGTGAGAGGTTGGAGGTGACCCGCGCCATCCATACCCGAACTGTGTCTGTGTCACAAATATATAGTACAGAATGAAATGTGCGCGTGTGAGTGTGTGTGTGTGTGTGAGTGACTGTGTATAGGAGTGTGTGTGTGTGTGTGTGAGAGTGAATGTGTGTGTATAGGAGTGTGTGTGTGTGTGAGAGTGAATGTGTGTGTACAGGAGTGTGTGTGTGTGTGAGAGTGAATGTGTGTGTACAGGAGTGTGTGTGCGAGTGAGTGTGTATAGGAGTGTATGAGTGTATAGGAGTGCGCGTGTGTGAGTGTGTATGTGAGTGAGTGAGTGTGTATAGGAGTGCGTGTGTGTGAGTGTGTATGTGAGTGAGTGAGTGTGTATAGGAGTGTGCGTGTGTGTGAGTGTATATGAGTGTGTGAGTGTATCGGAGTGCGTGTGTGTGTGTGAGTGAGTGTGTCTGCATAACAGAGAGAGAGGAAACAGGGTAGAAAGCGGTGTCAGGGTGTCCCCAACACCATAACCCCCTCTCTCTGTGTGTCTCTCATTCTCTCTCTGTCTGTCTGTGTGTCTCTGTCTGTGTGTCTCTGTCTGTCTGTCTGTGTGTCTCTGTCTGTCTGCGTGTCTCTGTCTGTCTGTGTCTCTCTGTCTATGTCTGTCTATGTGTCTGTCTGTGTGTGTCTCTGTCTGTCTGTGTCTGTCTCTGTCTGTCTGTGTCTCTCTGTCTCTGTCTGTCTGTGTGTCTCTGTCTGTGTGTCTCTGTCTGTCTGTGTGTCTCTGTCTGTCTGTGTGTCTGTGTGTCTCTGTCTGTCTGTGTCTCTCTGTCTGTGTCTGTCTGTGTGTCTCTCTGTCTCTCTCAATGCCCAGTCCGGCCTCGACCGCTCCTCCTCCAGTGCTATTCCTCTCCCCCACAAACACCCCCCACCACCACCCAATAAAAAAAACACCAACCCCCCCCCCCCCCACTCCTCACTAACTTTAACCCACTCCCTCCACTTCCACTGACCTTCCTCTCCTCCCGCACATCCAAAACGCGTAGCCCGAGGAGGAGCAGTGAGTGAGTGAGAGAGAGAGAGAGAGAGTTTGGCCTCTGTGGCTGTTCCCGTTGGGTTGGTTTGGGTTGAGCTGAGCTGCTCTCGCACTCGCCGCGCTACCAACCCTCCACTCCTTCAGGCAGACATATTTTTTTTTGGCGGGGGGGGCGGGGGGGGTGGTGGAGAGCCGCCTCACCACTGTGAACCAAAAGCACCGGATCCCTCCGCGACGTCCTCCCCTCCTTGAACCTGAGCCACAGCCACAGCAGTGCACACAGAGAGAGAGAGAGAGAGGAATACACAGAGAGCAGTACACACACACAGAGAGAGAGGTACACAGAGAGACAGGAATACACAGAGAGAGAGAGGAATACCCAGAGAGAGAGAGAGGAATACACAGAGAGAGAGAGGAATACCCAGAGAGCAGTACACACACACAGAGAGAGAGAGAAGTACACACACAGAGAGAGAGAGGAATACCCAGAGAGCAGTACACACACACACAGAGAGAGAGAAGTACACAGAGAGAGAGAGAGAGGAATACACAGAGAGCAGTACACAGAGAGAGAGAGAGAGAAGTACACACAGAGAGAGGAATACACAGAGAGAGAGGAATACCCAGAGAGCAGTACACACACAGAGAGAGAGAGAAGTACAGAGAGAGAGAGGAATACACAGAGAGAGAGAGAGAGGAATACCCAGAGAGCAGTACACAGAGAGAAGTACACACAGAGAGGGGAATACACAGAGAGAGGAATACACAGAGAGAGAGAGAGAGGAATACCCAGAGAGTAGTACACAGAGAGAGAGAGATATACAGAGAGCAGTACACAGAGAGAGAGAGAGAGAAATATACAGAGAGAACAGTACACAGAGAGAGAGAGAGAAATTCAGAGAGAGCAGTACACACACACACACACAGAGAGAGCAGTACACAGTGATAGAGAGAGAGAGAGAGCAATACAGAGAGAGCAGTACACACAGAGAGAGCGAAATACAGAGAGAGCAGTACACAGAGAGAGAGAGAAGTACAGAGAGAGCAGTACAGAGAGAGAGAGCAGTACACAGAGAGAGAGAGAGAGAGAGAGACCAGAGTAGTACAGAGAGAGAAGTATAGAGAGTGAGAAGAGTAGTACAGAGAGCAGTGAGAGAGAGATCAGAGCAGTACCTCGTGCGCTGATGGCAATAGGTGCGCTTTAAATCACAAACCACATCCACCCACACACATACACCACGTACATATATACACACACACAGGTGCAAGTTACTGTTTTATTGATTAAAAAAACGGGGGGGGATTGACAGCCTCACTGCAATTTACAATTTGTCGTTTTTTTGCTTTTAAAGCTCCTTTGGAGGGGTGGCGGAGTGGGGTATTGGGGGGGGAGGAGTGGGGAATGGGGGGGTGGGGGGAAGAGTAGGGCATTGGGGGGGAAGAGTGGGGTATGGGGGGGAAGAGTGGGGTATAGGGGGAATAGTGGGGTATGGAAGGGGGAAGCGTGGGGTATGGGGTGGATGAGTGGGGTATTGGGGGGGAGGAGAGGGGTATGGGGGAAGGAGTGGGGTATGGGGGGAGGAGTAGGGTATTGGGGGGGAAGGAGTGGAGTATTGGGGGGAGGAGTGGAGTATTGGGGGCAAGGAGTGGGGTATTGGGCGGGGGGAAGAGTGGGGTATGGGGGGGAAGAGAGGGGTATGGGGGGAGGAGTGGGGTATTGGGGGGGAGGAGAGGGGTATTGGGGGGAAGAGTGGGGTATGGGAGGAGGAGTGGGGTATGGGGGGGAGAAATGGGGTATGGGGGGGAGGAGAGGGGTATGGGGTATTGGGGGAGGAGTAGGTATTGGGGGGAGGAGTAGGGTATTGGTGGGGAAGGAGTGGAGTATTGGGGGGAAGGAGTGGGGTATTGGGTGGTGGGGGGGAAGGAGTGGGGTATTGGGTGGGGGGGGGAAGGAGTGGGGTATTGGGTGGGGGGGGAGGAAGGAGTGGGATATTGGGTGGGGGGGGGATCGCTGTTGCCTCTCACACACCCCCACCCCCCCCACTCCCCCCCCCACCACCCCGGAGGGAGAACGTGTGTAAAATGTTTTGCAAAGCAACGAAATGCCTCGACACATCGACACTGAGCGGAGTGAAGGATCCTTTGTTTGCGGTGGGAGGCGGTGGGAGCGGTGAGGCGGCCCTGTCTGTGTGCGTTGCCTTCTTGTCACTGAGTGACAGGAGATGACTTGCTGGGGGTGGAATTACACGCGTGGCCAATCCGAGGTTATCTCGCTCCTTGGCTGTGCCAACATGTAATGCATGTGTGTGTGGTGTGTGTGCGTGTGTGTGTACAGTGTGTGTATGTGCATATATATATATATAATCCTTGCATTTGATATAATTCCCAGTAGAGATGTTTATCAAAGTATAAAACGTTTCACAATAACACACACACACACACAGATGCAAAATACAAGTCAAGTCTCCAGGAATGGGTTGCAATTAGCATTCCCACCCCACCCCCATCCCCCCCCCCCCCCCCCCCACACACACACACACACAGTGTTAGCTTATTTGTTTGCTTTCCTATATATATATATAGAGAGAGAGCGAGAGAAATTTCTATATATATATATACTGTTGACATTTATTTTATTGCCTGCGGGTAAATATTTTTTAAAAAATCAACCAGGATCACAGGCATTTTTTTTTTAAAAATTGCAGTTTAGTCGTTTATTTGTTTGTTTTTTTTCAACCCCCCCCCCCCCAAAAAAAAAAATAACCCGGAAAAACAGATCAAAGCTTTGAAAATTTTCACGAGTTCAAACTTTTTTTTCTCTCTCTCAATCGGAGATCTCTTGGTGCTCTGTAAGTTAAGTAGTGGTGGGAGGAGGAGGAGGGGATGGGGAGGAGGAGGAGAGGATGGGGGGGAATGGCTTAAGACGTTGAACGATATCTCTTCATAAAATATTAATAAAAACATGTTATTATGGGACGAACTTAGGCACTGAAGTGCCCACCGTTCAAAATCTGCTCTCAAGTTCGAGTGCTTTCCAAAGGAATCACCAAAAAAAAAAAGCCTTTGAAACAAATCAGACAGTTTCATGGACAGTATTCCACAGAAATATTTACCAAAAAGTAGCAATCAAGAAAAATAAGCATTTTATTGTAACCTTTTAAATAAATATTTACCAAACACTATCAATCTTAAAAAAAAACATAAACAAACGTTCTGGTCACAAAAATGATGGGTAGATTTTTATCCCCCCCCCCACCCCCCCATTTGAGACCAGCTGCCCTTCACGCCACGCAAACAAAACATTTTCTGTTAGGATTGGGTGTTATTTATTTGCAGAAACTTGTAAACCGAGTCTATCTGCCGAAAATTGTTCCAGTTCTACTTACTTGAGGTGACAAGTTGATCTTTTCTAAAGGGGAACGCGTGATACAAGAGAGTGTGTGTGTGTGTGGGGGGGGGTGGGGGTTGGGGGTGTCGGTGAGGGTGTGTGTTGGGGGGGGGGTGTGGGTGGGGTGTGGGTGGGGGGGGTGGGTGTGGGGTGTGTGTGGGTGGGGGGGGGTGGGTGGGGGTGTGGTGTGGGTGGGGGTGTGTGTGGGTGGTGTGGGGTGGGGTGGTGGTGGGGGTGTGTGTGGGTGGGGTGGGGGTGTGTGTGGGTGTGGGGGTGTGGTGGGTGGGTGTGTGGGGGTGTGTGTGGGTGTGGGTGGGGTGTGGGGGGGGTGGGTGGGGTGTGGGGTGTTTTAAAGGGAATCTCTCGAACTCAAACAGGGATCAGTATTTCCCTACAATAGATCTTCAACCGATTTTCTTTGTGTTTTTAAAGGTGTTATTGTATTGTCTGGTCCTATCCTATTTGTGTTACCCCCCCCCCCCCCTCACCCCCATTCATCCCCACCTCCGGAAAGGCAACTGTAGCAGCGGCGATGGTTTGAGGATGGAGTTCAGAGAGGTCTGTGCTGTGGTGTAGTGAGTGACATCTTCGCGAAGCGCAACATGTGATAACGGGATTGAGAGAGAAAAAACTGTCTGAAATCAGCCCTTTAAAACCCCGGAGCCTTTTGCAGAAAGAAAAACTGCAAACAAACACACACATACACACACACACACGCGGGGAAATGCCCTCGTTTGCTTACTTTATGTTGCATTTTACGGTTTGGGTGGACAGGAGAGCCTCAGTTGCTGTGAAGCACTGACGATGACAGCAAACAAAAAAGATGGAAGTTAGGGCTCGATCCACTCCATCCCAACATCCACTGCTGTTTAAAAACCCACAAAGAGCTTTGGACAGACAGACATCAGACAGACAGACAGAGACAGACAGACAGTGTGTGAGTTGAGCGCAGCACCAGCTTCACAGTGACAGACCGCACCGCACACACTGACTGACGGACTGAGCGCCTCTGCGTTCCTCGGGGGCTTTAACGTTGTTGGTTTGGGAACTTTGATTTCAGCGTCAAGGCGACCCCCCCCAAACCCCCCCCCCCAAACCCCCCCCCCCCCACCACCACCACCACAAAAAAAAATTGACGTGAGTCCCGGGATGAAATTGGAAGCCCATCGGAGCCCTTAACACTTAATGTTAGCCATTGAAATCACGGTCTCCAAAAAATATCTGATCCCTGACTTCGATCGGGGTGGGGGTGGGGTGGGGGGGGGGGTGGGGGGTGGGGGGGGGGGGGGGGACCTGTTCTGGAATTAAAAGAGGATAAACGATTCAATAAGTTGGAAGCACCGTATAGGTAGGCAAGGCTTCAGCATAATGTCATGGTCACTTTGCTGCTAAAAAAAATAAAGAGGGCTTTTAATGACTCAGATGGTACTTAGCGAGTCTGATATTTAGGATATTTTAGCCATTTTAATGATTGATTGAATTGATTGATTGATTGATTGAATGAATGAATGAATGAATGCAACGATGATATTTTTATTGTGAGGAATAGTCAGTCCCACACGTTGTGGTTAGCAAAAGGTCTGATTGAACTATTCCATTGCTGAACTCCCCCCACCCGCCCCCCCCCCAAAAAAAGCACAGCAATCTCAATTTTTTTTAAAAAAAACTTTTATCCTCATTTTACAGCTGAAGAGCCAGAGACAAGTTTCTCTTTGGATACTTTGGATGAAGATCGACACCTGCCAACTGATCTGCGTGCAACACAAATATG